ATCTTCCCCACATATCCTCATAAACTGTGCTTCTTACCTCTTATTTTTTGTGGAACCGACTCCCAAGAGGATGCTTCCCTGATCACTACAATCTTAACCTGTTCAAGTCTAGGGTTAACCGTTATCTTCCCCACATATCCTCATAAACTGTGCTTCTTACCTCTTACTTTTGTGGAACCGACTCCCAAGAGGATGCTTCCCCGATCACTACAATCTTAACCTGTTCAAGTCTAGGGTTAACCGTTATCTTTCCCCACATATCCTCATAAACTGTGCTTCTTACCTCTTACTTTTTGTGGAACCGACTCCCCAAGAGGATGCTTCCCTGATCACTACAATCTTAACCTGTTCAAGTCTAGGGTTAACCGTTATCTTCCCCACATATCCTCATAAACTGTGCTTCTTACCTCTTACTTTTGTGGAACCGACTCCCAAGAGGATGCTTCCCCGATCACTACAATCTTAACCTGTTCAAGTCTAGGGTTAACCGTTATCTTCCCCACATATCCTCTTAAATTCTGCTTCTTACCTCTTACTTTGTGGAACTGACTCCCAAGAGGATGCTTCTTCTATCACTACAATCTTAACCTGTTCAAGTCTAGGGTTAACCGTTATCTTCCCCACATATCCTCATAAACTGTGCTTCTTACCTCTTACTTTGTGGAACCGACTCCCAAGAGGATGCTTCCCCGATCACTACAATCTTAACCTGTTCAAGTCTAGGGTTAACCGTTATCTTCCCCACATATCCTCATAAACTGTGCTTCTTACCTCTTACTTTGTGGAACCGACTCCCAAGAGGATGCTTCCCCGATCACTACAATCTTAACCTGTTCAAGTCTAGGGTTAACCGTTATCTTCCCCACATATCCTCATAAACTGTGCTTCTTACCTCTTACTTTGTGGAACTGACTCCCCAAGAGGATGCTTCCCCGATCACTACAATCTTAACCTGTTCAAGTCTAGGGTTAACCGTTATCTTCCCCACATATCCTCATAAACTGTGCTTCTTACCTCTTACTTTTGTGGAACCGATTCCCAAGAGGATGCTTCCCTGATCACTACAATCTTAACCTGTTCAAGTCTAGGGTTAACCGTTATCTTCCCCACATATCCTCATAAACTGTGCTTCTTACCTCTTACTTTGTGGAACCGACTCCCAAGAGGATGCTTCCCCGATCACTACAATCTTAACCTGTTCAAGTCTAGGGTTAACCGTTATCTTCCCCACATATCCTCATAAACTCTGCTTCTTACCTCTTACTTTGTGGAACCGACTCCCAAGAGGATGCTTCCCCGATCACTACAATCTTAACCTGTTCAAGTCTAGGGTTAACCGTTATCTTCCCACATATCCTCATAAACTGTGCTTCTTACCTCTTACTTTTGGGAACCGACTCCCAAGAGGATGCTTCCCCGATCACTACAATCTTAACCTGTTCAAGTCTAGGTTTAACCGTTATCTTCCCCACATATCCTCATAAACTGTGCTTCTTACCTCTTACTTTGTGGAACCGACTCCCAAGAGGATGCTTCCCCGATCACTACAATCTTAACCTGTTCAAGTCTAGGGTTAACCGTTATCTTCCCCACATATCCTCATAAACCTGCTTCTTACCTCTTACTTTGTGGAACCGACTCCCCAGGAGGATGCTTCCCCGATCACTACAATCTTAACCTGTTCAAGTCTAGGGTTAACCGTTATCTTCCCCACATATCCTCATAAACTGTGCTTCTTACCTCTTATTTTGTGGAATGACTCCCAAGAGGATGCTTCCCTGATCACTACAATCTTAACCTGTTCAAGTCTAGGGTTAACCGTTATTTCCCACATATCCTCATAAACTGTGCTTCTTACCTCTTACTTTGTGGAACTGACTCCAAGAGGATGCTTCCCTGATCACTACAATCTTAACCTGTTCAAGTCTAGGGGTTAACCGTTATCTTCCCCACATATCCTCATAAACTGTGCTTCTTACCCTTACTTTGTGGAACCGACTCCCAGGAGGATGCTTCCCCGATCACTACAATCTTAACCTGTTCAAGTCTAGGGTTAACCGTTATCTTCCCCACATATCCTCATAAACTGTGCTTAACTCTTACTTTGTGGAACCGACTCCCAAGAGGATGCTTCCCTGATCACTACAATCTTAACCTGTTCAAGTCTAGGGTTAACCGTTATCTTCCCCACATATCCCACATAAACTGTGCTTCTTACCTCTTACTTTGTGGAACCGACTCCCAAGAGGATGCTTCCCTGATCACTACAATCTTAACCTGTTCAAGTCTAGGGTTAACCGTTATCTTCCCCACATATCCTCATAAACTGTGCTTCTTACCTCTTATTTTGTGGAACCGACTCCCAGGAGGATGCTACAATCTTAACCCTAGGGATCACTACAATCTTAACCTGTTCAAGTCTAGGGTTAACCGTTATTCTTCCCCACTATATCCTCACAAACATAAACTTTACCTTAACTCTTTCTTTGTGGAACCGACTCCCAAGAGGATGCTTCCCTGATCACTACAATCTTAACCTGTTCAAGTCTAGGGTTAACCGTTATCTTCCCCACATATCCTCATAAACTGTGCTTCTTACCTCTTACTTTGTGGAACCGACTCCCAAGAGGATGCTTCCCCGATCACTACAATCTTAACCTGTTCAAGTCTAGGGTTCCCTTATCTTCCCCACATATCCTCATAAACTGTGCTTCTTACCTCTTACTTTGTGGAACTGACTCCCAAGAGGATGCTTCCCGATCACTACAATCTTAACCTGTTCAAGTCTAGGGTTAACCGTTATCTTCCCACATATCCTCATAAACTGTGCTTCTTACCTCTTACTTTGTGGAACTGACTCCCAGGAGGATGCTTCCCCGATCACTACAATCTTAACCTGTTCAAGTCTAGGGTTAACCGTTATCTTCCCCACATATCCTCATAAACTGTGCTTCTTACCTCTTACTTTGTGGAACCGACTCCCAAGAGGATGCTTCCCCCGATCACTACAATCTTAACCTGTTCAAGTCTAGGGTTAACCGTTATCTTCCCACATATCCTCATAAACTGTGCTTCTTAACTCTTACTTTGTGGAACCGACTCCCAGGAGGATGCTTCCCCGATCACTACAATCTTAACCTGTTCAAGTCTAGGGTTAACCGTTTTTTTCCCCATATATCCTCATAAACTCTGCTTCTTACCTCTTACTTTGTGGAACCGACTCCCAAGAGGATGCTTCCCCCGATCACTACAATCTTAACCTGTTCAAGTCTAGGGTTAACCGTTATCTTCCGCACATATCCTCATAAACTGTGCTTCTTACCTCTTACTTTGTGGAACCGATTCCCAAGAGGATGCTTCCCGATCACTACAATCTTAACCTGTTCAAGTCTAGGGTTAACCGTTATCTTCCCCCACATATCCTCATAAACTCCCTCTTACTTTTTGGAACCGACTCCCAAGAGGATGCTTCCCCGATCACTACAATCTTAACCTGTTCAAGTCTAGGGTTAACCGTTATCTTCCCCACATATCCTCATAAAACTGTGCTTCTTACCTCTTACTTTGTGGAACCGACTCCCCAAGAGGATGCTTCCCTGATCACTACAATCTTAACCTGTTCAAGTCTAGGGTTAACCGTTATCTTCCCCACATATCCTCATAAACTCTGCTTCTTACCTCTTACTTTGTGGAACCGACTCCCAAGAGGATGCTTCCCCGATCACTACAATCTTAACCTGTTCAAGTCTAGGGTTAACCGTTATCTTCCCCACATATCCTCATAAACTGTGCTTCTTACCTCTAACTTTGTGGAACTGACTCCCAAGAGGATGCTTCCCCGATCACTACAATCTTAACCTGTTCAAGTCTAGGGTTAACCGTTATCTTCCCCCATATCCTCATAAACTGTGCTTTCTTACCTCTTACTTTGTGGAACCGACTCCCAGGAGGATGCTTCCCCGATCACTACAATCTTAACCTGTTCAAGTCTAGGGTTAACCGTTATTTTCCCCACATATCCTCATAAACTGTGCTTCTTACCTCTTACTTTGTGGAACCGACTCCCAAGAGGATGCTTCCCCCGATCACTACAATCTTAACCTGTTCAAGTCTAGGGTTAACCGTTATCTTCCCCACATATCCTCATAAACTGTGCTTCTTACCTCTTACTTTGTGGAACCGACTCCCAAGAGGATGCTTCCCCGATCACTACAATCTTAACCTGTTCAAGTCTAGGGTTAACCTTTATCTTCCCCACATATCCTCATAAACTGTGCTTCTTACCTCTTACTTTGTGGAACCGACTCCCAGGAGGATGCTTCCCCGATCACTACAATCTTAACCTGTTCAAGTCTAGGGTTAACCGTTATCTTCCCCACATATCCTCATAAACTGTGCTTCTTACCTCTTACTTTGTGGAACCGACTCCCAGGAGGATGCTTCCCTGATCACTACAATCTTAACCTGTTCAAGTCTAGGGTTAACCGTTATCTTCCCAACATATCCTCATAAACTGTGCTTCTTACCTCTTACTTTTGTGGAACCGACTCCCAGGAGGATGCTTCCTGATCACTACAATCTTAACCAGTTCAAGTCTAGGGTTAACCGTTATCTTCCCCACATATCCTCTTAAACTGTGCTTCTTACCTCTTTCTTTATGGAACCGACTTCCCCTCCTATCCTTAACCTTCTACCTCAAATGGCGCCCGGATCTTGTACGGAGTGAACTTTGTTGCAACAGAAAACGCAAAAAAAAACTCCCTACTGAGATTCGAATTCCTCTGTAATCTTTCGGCCATTTCAACATATAATCATGCGACTTACTGCCAATAGAGAAACAAAATAGGTCAAGATCCTAATCAAGCAGAGACCGAAGGACAATAGAAATAAAAATAGGGAACTCTTGGAAAATTGGCAGAAATCTGACTTTTGATATTTGGCACTTTCTTTTGTATTTCCTACATATTACATTCTTTGAGGATTTCGCTGAGGTGACCTTGATGATTTGGTCGTAGAGAATTGCGTCAATCAACTCTTAAACAGATTAATTCATATTTTTGTCTGCGCGGATATCATTCGCTTGATCTGGGTTCAACACAAAGCGAATCTTAAATATGATTAGATCAGGTATTTAGTCATAGAGGTTCATTTTATTAAGTAAAAGCCCTTTCGGAAGATCCGAATTAATTAAATTCATTTCAACTTATTGGATTAAAAGCTTTTACTAATTAATGGCCTAAGTAGAAATCTTTGACAACATCATTCAACCTCCTCCGCCCTTGATACATAAACACAATATACACTTAAATGTATATATATATATATATATATATATATATATATATATATATATATATATATAAATGTATGCATACATGTATCTGGAGACGATTTCTGTATTCGAATGCAAAGAATGAATGGAAAAAGCCAATAAATTTCACATATACGCACGGACAAATGTACAGAGGGAAAGTTAGATAGAGAAATACAAAGATATATAGAGAGAGGAGATAAAGATACAAATTTGTGAGAGAGATAAGCGTAATATATTGCCGTAAAATAAATACACAGTGATTTTCAAAAACAGAGACACACACACATATATATAGACACACATACACACACGCATACACACATATCTGTGTGTGTGTGTATGTGTGTCTGTCTCTATTCATGCGTATGAGTGAGTTTTTAGCTTTTCATTAAGAAATCACTAGGCCGAGTGGTTAGAAGGTTGGGTTTCTAGCCATGAGACTCGGTTTCGAATCTCACCATGGTCGATTTGTCGAAAAGGAGACACTCCTGATGTTACCGGACTGAATCGAGGTCGATCCCAAAGTGCGACTCCTTTGTAAAGTGCCTGAAAGCATATCACTAATGTGCCTGCGCGAGCGTCTGCAATATGGATTTGCTAGCCGTCCTAATAGACGAGTATCCTCGAATTTGAGTATCCAGCTGTTATTTTTAATTTTTTTATATATATATATATATATATATATATATATATTTTATATATATATATATATGTGTGTGTGTGTGTGTGTGTGTGTGTGTGTGTCTATGTGCGCGCGTGTATGTGTGTGCAGGGTGATAGATAAATTACCGTCTAAAAACGCAAAATGAAAATGAAATTCTAATTTTAACAGTTATATTTACCAACTATCTGTCTATATCTCTGAGATGAGGTATATGATTACTGATATATATATATATATATATATATATATATATATATATATATATATATATATATGACTTACATTATTTTGACTGTTATCTTCATCTTCATTGACATAGTCACAACGCCACTGACTGTGTACGCTCCGTCCTTCTTCAGATAATTGGAATTTAGAACCACCGGGGTAGATTGCTCTACTTCCACGTGCCATGTATATATATATATATATATGAGAAAAATATAGTTTTAAGGTATGCTATATTTATGGGTTAAAGCGCTCAATATCTGCGACAGGGCGTATGTAAATATAAAAATGAACAGCGCCCAGCATCGACAGTGTTTCATGCTTGAATGCAAACGTCAGACCATGTGTTCTGTGATTCTGCCTCGTCTACGTATATATGCTGGTCAATGGTGCATTATGTGTAGCAAGGTCTATTGTATTATCCTAATAGTTATTGGGTGTCTGATATCGGTTTTGTTTCCGATTATTCTGGAGGCTACTGAGTTGGCTCAATTGCGCACTCCAGTGCTGTTATTTGATGATGTTTGACAGTGTTTTTCGTTAACTTTTTATTTATTTTAAAAATATGTTTTGTATATTTTTATATATTTTTTATATTTTTTTCTTTAACTTTTTTTACTCATTATTTATTATTAATTAATTTATGATTTGTTGTTGGTTCTTATTACTGCATTTATTTGTGTTTATGTGTGCATTCGAAGTTTGTTCATTTGTTTATAAATATATATTATAATTATATACTCAATTTCTTTACTTATTTATTGATTTATATTTTTTGTATATACATTTTGTCATATTCGTTTTTACTTTTCGATTTTTGTGTAACATAGTAAAAAATTATTTTCATATCTGCATTTTGAGACGAGTCCCGATCTTTTATTTAGTTGTTCATGTTTGTCTCGGAAGGTATTTATAGCTATTTTCTTCAGAAAGAGTTTAGATTTTGTTCTTAATTTCCAATATACGTTTAGAAAACATTGTGCTGTTCGCGTAGCGTACTGACTATTTGTAAACGATGCTTGGTGTGCGCAGTTACTCTGTTTCTAGGGTCCTTCAGTTATTTGCATATATTTTGCGTTATCTGCTGATTTTACAGTGGCTTGGCATATTACATTGCTTTGCAATCAGTTGCCATTTAAAGAACATTCGTTCTTTGCTCTGCAGTTACACGTTAATTTGTTTTGTGCCGATGATTTGCTTGTTGTTCTACTGGGGTGTGTTTTTTTTAATTATTATTTGTATCACATTCTCGGACAACTGATTTTTATAATTGTTCCTTTTTTCTTTATTCAGATTG